GCTCTGCAACATTCGCTCTGCAACATTCGCTCTGCAACATTTGCTCTGCAACATTCGCTCTGCAACATTTTGAGCAGCAAATTGCACGATAATCATTTTGTTGTCTAAACAAACTACCGCAACATTCAGCGATGCCTTTTTTACCACAAACTCGTGAATCGGCTTTACTATTTGTAGCATTGCACCTTGCTACAAGGAAACATACAAATTTTGGAACATAACACCCTTTATTTTATTTTAATAAAGGGTGTTTGTTATTTGAGTTTTTTGTCTCTCGACGCGCTAGTGGAATTGTGATGTCCCGATATATTATGATACATTGTAATATTATAATCTATGTTCGTTAGGTCGTACCCGGATATACGAGGGGCTGCTGACATACTACGTCATCTAACACGTGCCTGTATGGAACCCTTGACAAATACACTTGATCAAGAACACTTACTGCGCGTTTCTTTAGCTGATATCTTAACTAGTGCTACCTATAATGGGCACGTCATTGATAATCATGACTGGGCAGCGGTAAAATCCATCGCGATGTCTGTCTGCAGTAGTGAAACAATGAAGGTAAATATCTGATTCCACACCAGCCTCACCACGTCACGTCACGTTCACGTTAATTTTTAAAGCATTGCGTGACGAGGTGGCATTTTTTCATATAATTTGCTTCTCATTGAAAAGCGTAAAGCTGTGCAGTTTATAAATTTCCCAATATTTGCCCCCCCCCCCCCCCCGATGTTTTAATTAAATCAGTAGAATTCAAGATGGCCGCCGTATCTATAAAAAGGTCTTCTCCAATCAACGCCAAACAACGGTCATACAATGCTATGGAATATAATGGCATTCATTCTCGGAGAAAGAGGCTTTCTGTGAATGCTTTGAATTTTTCCCTTCGCATTTAAACCTGCCTTCTGCAAGTGTGTTTTGCAGAAGCTAAAACACCAAATATAAAAGATTTCAGCAGGTTGAGGATTTGAACTTGATTTGAACTTTGCCATAGGGTGACAACCAAGACTTTAAAGTTAAGCATTGTTGGCATTCTTTTTCTCCTTGTTTTCTAGAATATTGATGATTTATCACAAAATATTCCTGTCGAGGAACGCCTAAAAAAGTTTCCTGAGAAACCATCTTTGGGCCACCTAGGTCTGGTGAAAGACTCGGAAACACAGTACAGCATTCAACTTAGCAGGTATATCAATACATTTTCATATTTATTAGCAGAATAATCATCATTGTTATCCATTGCACTCACAATCTCGTTTCTAATTGGCTCATAATTATTTCCCGAAAAAAGCGCCTGCGCTGTCAGAGGATGTAATATCATATCAAATTTTCAAGGTTTTTTCAAGGTCACCTACATATGCAGTAACCATGTCAAGCTCGCGTGGGATAAATTTCTGAAAAGTCCCAACTTCAAGTGAGCGTGACCAAACGATTTTCAATGACAATGGTAAACAATCGAATAATCATCTGATTCAGTCATCATTTTGGGCCAAAAGCACTTTCATTGTTTTCCAGCTAAATCCTATTTTTCAACAATAAATTGATTATACATCTATTATTAGAACTATGGGCGTTGCTTTCGAAACTAGTATGGAGCTTAGTCCACCGCGGTTTAACATGGACAAAGTCATTCAAAAGGTGAATGAAATTTCTGACATCATTGATGAGAGTTTGAAAGTCATCAAAAAACCAGAGCAAGGAAAATTTGATACTGCCTTGTCAGCATTCTTTGTCAAAGAGCTGGAATATTACGAACAGTTTCTACATACGGTATCAAGGGATCTCCAGTTGTTGCTTCAAGCCATTGGAGGAAGTATGGCACACACTCCTCACTTGCATAGCCTTTTGGGAACGCTTTACTGTGGAGATGTTCCTCCGCATTGGCATGACAGCTATCCAGGACCCACATCTTTGGGTATGTGGTTAAAGTATTTGTCATCCGGGTTGCGTGCTGTACAGAACTACACTGCATTGGTGCCTAATGTTATTCGACTGAGTGCATTCGTCCATGATCAAGCTTTTTTCTCCTGCGTGTTGAGGGACTTTTGCAAGACCAATTCCAAAGCACCACAATCATTAGTGTTCAATATGGAGGTGAGTCGCTTGCCGTTATTTTCTCCTTTTCCGCTTTGCTTTGTTTTGGCTTGTTTTGTTTTTCGGGGGGTTTTTTTTGTTTGTTTGTTTGTTGGTTGGTTTGTTCGTTTGTTCGTTTGTTTGTTCGATTGTTCGTTTGTTTGTTCTTTTGTTCGTTTGTTTGTTTGTTCGTTCGTTCGTTTGTTCGTTCGTTCGTTCGTTTGTTTGTTTGTTCATTTGTTTGTTTGTTTTTTGTTTGTTTGGTTTGGTTTGGTTTGGTTTGGTTTGGTTTGGTTTGGTTTGNGGTTTGGTTTGGTTTGGTTTGGTTTGGTTTGGTTTGGTTTGGTTTGGTTTGGTTTGGTATGCCTCAAATGAAAAACGAGGAGATTATTTAGCTAGGTCAAAGCTAGTCGGCATGTAGAGCGGTGCTTCTCGCTCGATGACACAACCTGCGACCAAAGAGCACTAATGCGTAAAAGAGCGCTTGGAGCCCATAGAGTTTTGCAACATTTCAAAACTTCTTCTTTGAATCCCCCTGTAGGTGATGCAGCCTTCGTTTGAACCAGAGTCACCTGCAGAATATGGTGTGTTCCTATCAGATGTATCCGTCAAGAACGCCTTCTGGGACACTGAAAGGAAATGCCTAATTGACACTGAAAGTCTATCAGCTGTCAGTCATCTGCCAGTCATTCTTCTAACGCTTGTAGAAGCTAAACAGCAAATGAAGACTCCAGACAATAAAAAGATTATTGTCTATCAGTGTCCTCTTGTTACTGAAGGCAAGAACACGAATCACTTACAGAACCTTGTGACAAACCTTACTGTCATGTCAGCTATCAGCTATGATGACCTCGTGAAAATAAAGGTCTGTCTGTCTATTTCATTCCGCAATTCTTGAGCGGTTTTAATCGTAGTTTCTTCCATTCTTGACTTTGTTGTCATATCGACCATCAGCCCCGAAGACCACGTTAAAAGCAAAGTCTGTCTTTTTGTTCTGTTTCTGCTTATTCGCCTTCTATAGCTGTACAAAATTGAAAAAGAAATTTTGTTTTTATGAATTTTTATCAACTTTAATTATTTTGCAAACGCTACAACATATTTATATGGGTGTTAAAAGACCCCAAGTGTACAGTTTCTTTATTCCGGTTATAAATGTCCTTTACCAAAATTATGGACTTAACATCTTTAAAATGTATGTATAATGTATCTCCATAGTATGTGTGAGCAAAGCTTATTGAATTGTGTTGTAGCTCTGCTAAGTTATTTTTGTAAATAAAACTGGACTTTACAACAAATTAGCAACTGCTCCTTTGGGAAATCTTTGAGTACTACGATCTTTCCTGGACACGTCAATTTTTCCTATTTTCGCTACTCTTTCCCTCCACTCTATCCTTTCTCCTCCCCTCCCACCGAAGAAATGATCAGTTTTGGAATTCCTTATCCCCATCCATCTTTTACATGACTGTCCTTTCAATTCCTGGCTCGTTTTGAACATTAAAAGTTTCCTTTCCTTGCCTCAGTTCCTAAGTAACATGAACCCGTAGTAAGTTTCCAGTCCCTTACCCCTTATTTTTATCTCGCCAGCACTCCTCCCCTCCCCCCAGGGTAGTAATGGTGCTAACAGTAATAATTAGCTTAACCAAAACATTTATTTCCCAAGTAACTATAACCAAAATACCTCAGTATTAAACTAAATCTTTATTAATGTTATAATGATTTCGTCTATCAAATATGATATTGTTTGTCGGCATTTTCGTGACAAGGGTATCTTTTCAAATTTTTTTTCTTTCTTACGCTTCTTTGTTAAGAGTGTCAACCTTGTCTTCTTCACTTGATCGAGATACAGGTGTGTTTAGACGTGTAAAAGCGAAAACAAGGTCTTCTAGAATTTTCCATACTTATGATCTCGATGTTAAAGCACTCGTTACTCAAAAGACCCTCGAATACTCTTAAGACTAATTTCATTCTTTGCCCACATGAGCTAAGAGTGTTTTCGTGGCAATCTCATGTTGCATGTTCGATTTCATATTGTTCGGTGAAATGAACATACTCAGTCTTGTTTACTTGATTGGCTAATCGGCCCTGTTAGTGCCCTACGGTGTTCTATTATGCGCAGTTCATATAATCTTAAACAATACCCTTCGAAATGAATCTCAATAATTAATTACATTTCCGCTTTATTCAAAATATATAGAGCGAAAGATAAAGTCATGGTTTTTATTAGGCATGCCATGTATTTTTCTCAATTTTCATCAGAGATGCTCAAAGGTTTTAGTCGTATGGTAATAAACTATATACGTGACCGTGTCGAACGTCAACTTTCTTCCTTGATTAGGCTGCCTAGATCAAGCAAAAAAGTTTGCGCACAGCAAGCAGTCTATTTATTCATAAATTATCCAAGACTCCCAACTGTGTGCTTATTAGATATTAGAACCCTTTCATTAATGGCGGCCGCTTAAGAAGTTCTTAAAAGAAACTTTTATCTCGATATTTTGATTTCAGTGTATTAGTCACTTAACATTAGTCGATTAATCGCTATTAATTCTAAGTGCATGATTTTCCACGTTGTAAAGCACTTGTAAAGCATCCCTGACGAAAATGCGTAATACGTGCTAATAGTTTCATAATGTATTTCCTAATTGTGTGGCTTTAATGAAAATCGATGGTAATATTAGGACAATTAGATTGGCTGTTGTAGGTGTCAGAAAACTACGTGTCTTCTGGGTTTGAATGCCGGGAAATATATATGTTTCACAGAGGTTACTGGTTCACAGAATCCAGTGCTGTAAACAGATAGGTTATTCAGTCGAAGAAATTGGGTGCACTCTCGTGAACACATACCAACACAAGTGATGTGTATCAAATTAACTGTAGATTTGTTCTATAATTAAAAGTTTAATTTTGTTTGGCTGGCTCGACCAATGAGGTCCCTGTTTTCTTGATAGCGGCTATAAAACACACGCTAAATGTTTAATTGGACGGATAAAGGCATTGCAAACACAAGATATCGGGCTCGTAATCGCACAAGTCGTGAACCTTTCCTCCCTTAATTTCTGGGCCTATCAACGAGTCAAGTAACCTTATGGAAGGCGCTGAGCAGCAAACAGTTCAGTCACCCCGTCAAGGCTTTTCCATTGCAGCCCTGCTTGGGACGACATCGAGACAACAGCCCCATAGACCGAAGCCAGAAAGAGCACTCCATGGGCAGCTGTATTCTCAGGAATATCATCCACATTCTTTGAACAGGATGAGTAGTTCTTTCGATGTTGGTCCTCCAATGCATCTTCCACGAACCCTCTGGGAATCTTTACCAGAAGCACGAGGAATCGCGCACCAGGGAACATCAACCAACATAGGTGAGTATACTTATAATTATTGATATCAAACTGTGTCTTTAATCTTGTTAAGAGAATGGTCTTAACCTAAGAACTTTATGATAACCCCATCCAAACCTGATCGCAGTTGATGCTCTAGTTTAAACATTAGTGTCACTTCTTTTATTCCAAATTAGTGTTTTGCCTTATATATATTATCCTTTGTTGTATACGTACTTTAAGGCACTTATAACAAAGATCATCCTCAATATAATAACATACTTCTCCATGAACTTTACTTATTATTGTCTTGGTGCTATTGCATTGATGCGACTAATAATGACTTATGTGGAATTAGAAATGATTGAAGTTGTTCAGTGTTTATTTAAAAAGTTTAGGCAAATGAATTTGGTCGTCATGCGTTAGTTAATCTGCTGATTGAAATACTTTGAATAACAAAAACATCAAAATGAGCCGACATTAGGGGTGTTCATCGGATGATTAAATCGCAGTCCATTCTTCCTATCAATACTGAGGTAAAAGCAAGAGTGATCGTGTAGCTTGACACGCAACATTACTACTTTGATGAACTTGTAGAAAGAAACGTTTCTACCACTCCGTTTGCGACAAACTTTTCTTGCAAAGAGCATCAGCGTAAAGAGAGTACCTGCGATAAAAAAATAATGAAAGGGTGTGGATAGTCGTATGATACAAAGAACATTCTCTCTGCATGTGCAGCGGAACATAATATAAAATTCTAATGCGCACGACTCTTGACTTCCGTGCATTTTCTGAAATGGATCAAGCCATATGATTCCAGGCGGACAGACATTTAAACAAAAAGGAAAAAACACTTTGAAAACCAAATAGGAAGTAAAAAAGCAATGGGAAAAAGTAAGAATACCGTTTACACTGGCGATTTTTGCTGCAATTTTGTGGCAATTTTCGGAAATATGAAATCTTTTGTCTCATCCTTCAAATGAGACATTCGTCCAGGAAAATCTTGGTATCCTGAAAAAAACGTTACAAATAAATTCTTTACCTTTATTTTTTATGGACAAAATCGCAAAATAATCGCAGCMAAAATCGCTAGTGTAAACGAGGCTATAGGAAAGGAAAGGTAAAGAAAAAAGGAGATTAAGATTGCAGGTGTTCTTCCGGGTTAATTAAGTCTATATTTTTTATATAATTACCAAGATCTTTGTATTTACCTATTTGTTTCTTCCTTATATATTGACTCAAATACTAACTCGAATTTTATATTCAACAGTTCAACTAGATCGCACTCGAGAAAGAAGAAAAAGCAAAGATAGTTCAAAGAAAAGAACACGAACTGCTTTTACAAATCACCAAATTAAAGTCCTGGAATCAGAATTCAAATCCAGCAGATATCTCACCGTTTCGCGACGAAATGAACTGGCAAAGTTACTCGAACTGAGCGATAACCAGATCAAAATTTGGTTTCAAAATAGGAGAACGAAACTAAAGCGCCAAATTGCTGTTGATATCGCATTTTCTATGTCTCTTTCTGGACATTTTTTTCCGTGTCATCCAACTATGCATACCGACAGCCATTGTCCTCGTTGTGTTTTTAAGATGCCGAGTTGGCGGAACTATTCTTCTGGCGCTACTAGTTTTGATGGTCCATTTTGTCATGAAGCTGGTTTTTCTTCTATGAACCCTCAAATGCCACTAACGTTATGATGCAACAGAAGTCGCAGAGTTAGTAAGACTTGATATGACATCTACAGTGCTGGAAATTAACTACTGCAGCAAAAACTATGCTTCAGATGACTAGAGCTTTTATACAGCTGCCAGTTTTTAATAAACTGCTTCAGAGCCGGTATTGCCCTTACCGGGGCGTATTCAGAGTGGTCCTAGAGTGGCTGTGATCTCTTTTCTACGTGCATGTGGCTTTGGAAAGAAGGGAGGGAGGGAGGGATGATAAGTTTGTGGATTTCGTGTGGAGTATCCCTCCTCATGGTATCCTAGATACGCCTCTACGTACCTTGAGTAGTTACACACTTCATTGGCCTTACTGAGATCGCTGATATGGTGCATTGTGGTCTATCTTGGGTACAGACATCTTTCGTTCATCAAACATTATATGGTGTTTGTATCGACGCTAGACCGCCACAATTTATCTTGTTTGTCAAACAAGCTTATGAATTTCACATTATAAATGGTGTTTGCTAGATAGTTCACCGACTGCTTGCATTAGCGCTTAGAGCTGCCGTGCATTTTACAACAATGAGGAGCGATACGTCAGTATTAATGCCCCTATGGCTTATGTGTCCAAACAGAAGCACTGGAGATGGTAACACCGGACCGGATCACAAGATCACACACAAGATCCACCTACACAGCATTAGAAATCCATAGAACTTTTCTGATATGCAAACATGATCCATTTACTGAGGTATTTACTATAAAACTTTAAACAAAATTTATAACACCGATAAATAGGATATCAAATAACAAAAAATAACGTCACTTATTAAGCTCATAATAAATATATTTTTGTAAGAAGCTGTAGTCCAAAATAACCCTTTCTGATTGTTTACATATTCCACTTTTCTTATTGGTTAAAAAAACAGCTGTTTACTGGTCCAATCAACATGCGCCACAGGGTTCCTTGCAACAATTAAACCATTTTGCTTAAATGATTCACTGTAAACATCAAAAGAAACGCTTAGGAAAGGATCATGAGGATTTATGGGGGAAAGCAAGGATGATTTATGTCAAGAATAGCGTGTTGAACAACTTCTCACGATCCAATTTGAAGCCGGACAAAATGCCATCATTAAGTAAATGGTAAGTTTTGCTATTATCTGCCACCAGCTCATAAACAAAATTTAGCTATAGTTTAATATAGAAAATGAATTGGGGTCAGTCAGCTTCAGTTTCAAATTTACTCTAATCTGGGAAACTTTAGATGAACAAGGGAAATTCATAATTTGACTTAAAATAGTACTCCAAAGCCAGACAAGTTTTTAACACAGAGTACAAACACTAAAAGTGTGCAACATAAATATCACTAAATAGTGTCATTTTATGCTAATTCTATTGTTTTCTTTTGTTTAATAGTGCTATTTACTGCTAAATAGTGATAACTATTGCACACATTTAGTGTTTGTACTCTAGTAAAAATGTTCCAAAGTAGACGTTTTATTTTAAAAGCATTTGTCCATAAATTCCTGCATTTTAGCCTGGACAAAATATAGGTTTCACTTACCTTTAAACAGAATTTAAAACGTCTTTATTTATCCAATACTTTGATAAGTTTATGCTGTTCGAAACATCATAATCAAACTCCAAGATTAGGCTCAAATTGTTCAAACAAAATTTTGAATAATAGATAATGTTTTTAGAATTATTTCCAGCTACTCTTAACAATTATTACCCATGCAGGCACCTCAACTAAGTATAAATAAAAATTAGTAAACAAATAAAAGATATAAATAAAATTGAAATAAATTAACAAATAACTAAATAAACAAACTGTAAATAGACTTAATATTAAAATAAGTAATAAGCACATAAAAAATATGACATAAATAACATCCCAAATGCCCAAGGTTTGTTTCTTTTGTTTCGTATATTGATCATTTCTTAATAGCTAGTGTTTATAGCAACATATGTTTTTGTCAATCAATTCATATATCAAGAGTTCCATGCTACTGCTCTAAGCGCATGCACAAGGCAGGGGCGTATCCAGGGGGGTCACAGGGTGCCCATGACCCCCCCTTTCAAAGCCAAAAAACATCTATGATATGTGTTGGTGATCAATTAACATATCTTTTATTGTTTCAATTATAGTCATGTACGTTGTTCTGTTCCCCTCTATCGACCATGATTCTTTTTCATCAAAACAATAGATTGATATGACGTCATATTGACGTCATAGTGACAATTTGGTATGTAAGGACCCCCCAATTACAAATCCTGGATACGCCCCTGCAAAGGGTCAAAAAGTGGGACATAGGTTGTAAAAATTGCTATACTTTGGTATATTTGATTTGGAATTAGCTTAACACTAATTCCTCTCGAATATTAAATGAAAATTGTGCTTGATAAGAAAAATACAATAAAGTGTAGCAACTTTTACAACCCACTTTTGACCCCTTGAGCATGCGCTTCAAGCAGTAGTGAAAAATGCTTGATGCATGTATTCAGGGTCCTACCACAGGTAACCCAAACAATCTTGAAATGAACCTTTTAGGTTCTGGCTTTGAATTAACATAAGAGTCGACTTGCACATTTCACATTTCTGACCCAAACAACTGCAGGGGTAGCATCTTTACTCTTGAAGACTGCTCAGTCATACCTACCATAATTTCATAATTATGCATCCTGATCTATGAATTTTTCAGTTGCCTTTCTTCCTTCTTTCCTACTTCTATATCATTTATCTTTATCAGTGTACTGCCTGTTCAAGATTCAAGACTAAAATCCTGCATGAAAAACATCAAAAACATTTTTTTTTCTGAAAGAAAAATACAAACAATCGTGATATTTTGATTAGTGGCAAATTCTTTTTAATTTCTACGAAACAACTGCCACAGCTATTTCATAGACACAATTTTTCTCCTTCGTGACTCTAGGGCATAAAATGGGCTCCCTGTGGTGACCAATTTGCGGCCAGCCGACTAGACCATAAGTAAACTTGCGTGGAATATACACTTTTCACGAAATAAAAAAAAATCTTTACGTGTACATCAGAATACCGAAATTTATCTTAAAGTTTTAATATCTAATGTGCTGTTGTCAGTCACTGATGTAGACAGAGATAAAGAAGAAATGAAAAACACGTGTTTAGGGACAATTAGTCCCTTTATATACGTATAAAACCACGCTAAACCTGTTAAAAAGACTGTTAAAACGAACGGCCTTTGAACTGAAAACCAAAAGCTGAATGGAAAAACATGCCTGTAATTCAATGTCGATTGCATTTTTGCTAGTCGATCCGAAAACTGGCGACTTTTAGTACGAAGTACACATCTATACTGGGGCGGAATCCACGCTCTGTCGTCCCTCTTGAGTGTGAAGTGAGTATTCAAGAGTTTTGCTAACATTGTTAAACTAAGAACGACAGTGAAACATGTGGTTATGAAAGAAGCTCGAAATAAAAGAACAACTAACCAAACCAGCTTCTCAATCCAATATTTATATCCTAAGGGCTTGAATAGTTATCAGTCACATCAAATAACCACACGTTACCTAAATATTTATCGGCTATAATCAAATAAACTAAATAGAATTTCTTCTTAGCACCACATTTGTATTGTCACTAAGTCGTGTTGTTAAGACTTAGTGGAATCTCTGATAAATAGCGTGTTTAACGCGCAGGGTTTTTTATTTTCTGGGTTAGCTGTGGTTTTGCTCTACTTAATCGTCGGTAAAGTGTATTAAAGGGCGTATTGAGTCCACGCTTTCAGTGATTGACAGCTCACGTTTGGATCGACTTTGATAATATCTTCCTATATAATTTATCATTTAGTATATTTTGTTCACAGCTCGGCACGGGTCTTCGCATTAATTAATCTGTTCCGAGTCCTGTAACTAATTAATGCTCGTACTTGCTTTTTAAGAGTTGTCGTATCAATTCCCCCTCAAGCAATCAGAAAAGACACTTGACTTGTTTGTCTTGAGCCGAGAAAATTATTCTATATTGGAGTTAGGCACTTTATCTTTGACTGACACTTTTTAAGGGTCTCACCGTAACCTTCAAGGCTATGAATAAATTCCATTTTTGTGTGTGACTAAAGAAATGAGTATGAATACTGGTTTCCAATAGGCCACGTTTGAGATACCGAGGTGTTTCGATAAATAGTTAATTGCATTAAGCATTTAACGGGATCAGTAGACATAGTTGCTGTAGATTCGATTATAAAGTTGTTGAGTAGTGAAATGACTAGCATTTGTACCAAAATTTTCTTATTATTGCAAAAAGGTAGGAACGTCGTACATGATACATTTTTTATTCCTACAAATAAATGTATAGGGTGATCCAAATGTTTGTATCATACATGAAGGATTACTATGATAAGCCTTTCAATCAAGTATGAATTTTAAGATATCTAACGTGGTCTATTTGGACCACTTTCCGGCACTCGCACACAATTCCACTACATTCAATAGTCTATGCGCGCAACTCTCACTGAATTCACATGTTGCAGTTTTGTGGATGGAGAAAACTGGGATGAACTAATAGTTCCGATGCCGGGCTAAAAGTTGAAACATACACTTATTCCAATAAAGTTAGTCACCTGAAAAGCTACCAATTTGAGACCGACAAGGATTATTGATAGATACATTTTACATGTTTCAACCGCTTGATAACTGTTGATGGACTTGAGATCTTCTACCAGTTACAAGTTCACCTCCTCTGAGCATCCTCAACTGCTGCAGTTTGTGTCAAAAGCTTTACATGTTGTGTATAAAACATTTCCTCATGATTCTCAGCGATCACAGCTTTCTAGGTTTTTGGTGACTAACTTTATTGAAATAAGTATATAGCCCAAGAAAATAGACGCCCTTGAAATCGTTCCGGGCGCGACGACTTCGCCCCTCCGTTCCCAGTCTGTATTTGCGGGGTATGCAGTAGGAATTTCCCTTATTAGTGGTAGCCATGATAAAGGGCTGTGTCTTACTTCAATACAAGCTACTTCCAATTAATTTAGTGAACAAGTTGTTGCTCTTGTATAAACTTTGAATCACTTGCTTTAGGCATATTTTATTCACGCTATTTTGATAAGTTATCTGGAGCAAGCCTGCCATTTGAGAAAGTTTCTTTAATCTTTAACCGACTGATACAGGAAGCCCAACGTCATGTTATATACTCTGATACTCGTATGAAACTAAAATTTTGCAAAGTCCGCCGCCCTCTGTGTATCTCTACTGGCTCGCGACCTCTCGCGACTTCTTTGCTCGAATAAAATATTCTCGTGGGAGACAAGAGAGGTTGACTTAGAGGGAGTCTGAAGCTGATGAAACTTGACGTGGCTGAAAGTCCTAAAGAGGCGGGTTTTTAGAGATTACGCCGCAAGCAAAATTAATAACAATTTTCCTTGTCAATTAAAACTGTTTTTCGGAAAATTACGTCGTTCTGTATTCTTGGTATTTTTACTTTTTTATTACTTTTTATCATTAAGCATAACATTTCGTATTTTAAAACTGGCCAAGTTTTACCGATATGTATCCTYTGCATAAGTGCGCGATTCCGGTGGAGACCCGTCGTTTTACGAACATAACCAAGGTTATGTAAGCAATCGGGGATCTCTCGAAAAACACAGAAAGAATAAGAATGAAAATAAGTAGTAATACAGGTGGTGAAGATGACGACCAGTAGTTACTAGTTTAGACTGCGTTATCTGTCGCGTTGAAAGATGCTTGTTGAATACAACAAATGAATGAAAAATATAGTTAAACACTATTATTAAAAACTTTTCCAACAATGCTTACGTTTCGGACGTTTGGCCTTCGTCGGAGTAAAAGAGCAAGATTGCGTTTGTTTGCGTAAAGGTGGCGTAAACCAGTGCACCAGTACATGCGTCAAGTACGTGCGGGACAATATGGCCGTTGGCAATATAGTTGTTCAAAATGGCTATGGTAACATATACACCAAAACAACAGCAAACCCGGACGCCTATTAAAAAGAATA